CCAGATACATCTGAGGCCACAGACAACTTTGAGACATATGCTCTATTAATTCTCTTCCTACTCTGCTGCTGCGTTGTCACTCTCTTTCTTTGGATCCTCTTTCACCCGTCTCCTGAAAACATGTGGTCTTTTGGGGCTCAGTGACCCTGCTGTCATGCTGTCAACTGTCACTTATTGTCAGTGATGTCCAAGCTCTTTCCCGAGTCTCAGGTCCTATTTCCTTCGGTGTTTTAAACACGTACACACAAATACCTCAGTGCTACCTCAAAATCAGCATGTCCAAAGCCAGATTCTTATAACCTTGAACCTGCTCCCCACCTTGTATATACTCTATTTCAGACAGAAACAGCACTCGTCACCCAAGCTAAAAATCTTAGCTTCCTCCATACTTAGCAGTCATCCAATTAATTATTATTTACTGTTGCGATAAGTCCTACCATGAATTATGCATGTAGGGGAATATATAAGGGGTCTAAGACATGGGTGCTATCAGAGACTATTTCACAAAGGGACGTTGAGTCTGACTTCTATGCTCTCATTTGGCAGGTGGTGGAATGTCCCTGTGCCCGTACCCACTCCCTCAGTACCTCCCACCCCAACACACACCCAACTGCATCCATATGGCAGGCTTGCACTGACTCAAATGTCACCTCATCAGTGATGCTTTTCATGGCTATGGTTGACAGCCTTGTCACTCCCCAACTTTTGGACTGTACTTTCTTGCTCTCCTTGGCAGATTACTAACTTCGCTGTCTGTCTACATCCTAGAATGGCTTTTATTTCAATATGGTCTGGATCCACTCGTTTCATTTTGATTTTCTCTAAATCACTCCTCTTTTCTCACTTAGCATTCCCTTGATCCTCATGAATGCTCATTGCTTTCCATTTGAAAAGTTTTAAACTTTGCTGTTATGACACAAAAATGGTTAAGTAGTATAAAAATGAAATTGCTTTACATTTAGAGAAAGTTATTGGTGTAATATGGGCCAAAGAGCTAATTTTAATGTTGTTTGGTGACATAAGCAGGCTCAATCTAACCCACATTAGTAATAAAAAAATTAATCATGTTATTTTGCTTTAGATTTCACCACAGCTTGTCCCTGGAGTTCAACCTAGGAGAGCTGAGGTTCCAGTTGAGAAAACTGTATTAAGATAACATTGATTTTAATTTGACCTTGACTGAGATTCTTTTTATTTCAGCTAGTCCCGAAATACATTTCTTATTGGTTTATAAATTTTTCTTTCTTATGAGACAAAAAGTTGAAACACTTTATTTTTTATTGTTGTTTTAATTTTATACTTCCAAACTCTGTACTTATAACTGAAAAGTCTTATTGAATTTGGCTGTTTATTGATATTCGAGTAAGATATGCTTTCTAATCAGTATTTCTAGGTATTCTTGGGGGATAAAGGAAGGGGATGTGGAGGGCGTTGAGATTTCCCAACTCTCCTTTGTTCCAAGTTCTTGTTTCTTTCACCGCAGCTTCTGTGCTTGGTGTCAGTTTTCTACACCTCGTGGACCTACTGGGCAAACCTTTGATCCTCTCTCTCTTAAAAAGTACATCTACTCAAGGGTATGTAGCCAACTTTGCTAAAGTTTTGGGTCAGTGGAGGGGAATTACATAACACTGCAACTCAGGAAAAAAAAAAGGCATACAAATGAATCTTATACATCCCGCTTCCTAAAACTTCCTCAGTCTTTTCCTTTCAGAGGTATGGGCCTGGCCTATTTTCTACTTAGTCTTCCTAGTGTGATATAAAGATGAACTTTCTTACCACTTTTAAACCAGTTAATTTTTTTCACCCATTACACTTTTAACTGTGACCCCTACCTATATAATACCCCAGTGATTCTCCATCCTGGGTGCACAGAAGGACTCACTGAGTTTATTAAAAAATACAATGACTGGGAACCATCTTTGCTGATCCAAGGTGAGAACAGGGCATAGGCACAGGGCTCCTTTAAAAGCTCTGTAAGTGACTCTATTGTGCAACCAGTTTAGAGCCACTGTAAAATTCCTTCTTGAGTTCTGCATTTATGTCCAATTCCTGTTTCTAGGTCTTAGTGTTTCTCAGCTTTGGGCACCAATACCCATAGAATGCAGGGTGCCTCAAAAGTCACTTGGGATTAGATATTAACAAAAAGGTATAATCACCATGAGTAGCAAAATTAATGAAATGGACTCAGTGAGAAGTTTAACATGGGTCTCTCATCCATATCCTTTGAGCAGGAGTGGATTTGATTAAACAAGGATGTGTTTCATAGATGGTTAGGGAATCAATTGCAAAATAGACTGTTAGTGAATTTATGATTATGCAAAGTCTGTTATGTCCCTATACCTTCTAGACATAACCCCTTTTTCTAAGCCTAATTGGGCCTGAAGCAATTTGTGATTTTTGGCTTTAAAACCCTGCACCAGCAATCTTTCCCCAAAGCCTATCCACACAGAGACATCCCAGTGTATTTGCATGAAGCTCATGCCCAGCCGTGAAAAGTCTGCTTAGAGCTCACTTAGAGTTTTCATTTCTCTTTTAACAAAAATTGATGGATTCTTGCTGTCTTCCATTTTCTTAGCACCATGTAATTGTTACAGATATAGAAAATGACAAGCAACCAAATTTTGGATTTGCACATGGCTTTATCTGGCTTAAGGTTACTGTTTGGGGTCATTCTACTAACAAAAAGCAAAACTTTAAACTGTAGGGAAAAAATTATGTCATCTTAATGACCCTGTTCTGAGAAAAGAAACCAGAGGAAAGGCTTAAAAATTCTACTGTACTGAAGCAAAAAGTTTTTATTCATCAAAAAAAACATAATAAAAGACAACTCAATAGGAAATATTGAGCAAAAGATAAAAACAGCATTTCACAGATTAAAAGTCACAAATAGACAATAAACATAAGTTGCTTAACTTTGTAAATAGGAAAATGCAAATTAAAACTACCACATAATGTCATTTTATATCTACCAGATTTGCAGAAATGCTTACGTATTGATAAGGATGCAGAATGACAAGAACTCATATGCACTGCGGGTAGGACTACAAATTGGCTCAACCATATTACTAATCATAATTATAATAAAACTAGTGCTAGGCACTCTTTCAAGTGCTTTATATATGTTAAGTCACTTAATCACTTGGAAAATCATTTTGCATTATCTTATTAAGTACTTATTAAGTACTGGAGACTCAGCAATTCCCTGACTAGGTGTATTATCCTAGAGGAAGTCTTATAAATACATGTCCAGAGACTTACTGAAAATGTTTACAGCAGCATAAATTGTAGTATTAAAAAAACAGAACATGGGGCTGGCCGAGTGGCGCGTTGGTTAAGAGTTTGCTTGGGACTCCAGCTCTGAGCAGCAGGGCCCCGGTTTGGATCCCACATTAGGGCCAGTGACACTGCCCTCTACAGCTAAAATGGTGAACAACAGCTCAAACAAGAGCTGGGCTGCTGTGAGTTGCCAGCGACCGCATAGGGCAGAGGCTGCAGCTCCTGCTGCAGTGGGCTGCCATTAAGCTACTGTGTGTGGCCAGCAGCCGGCATGAGCTGCTGTGAACCGCAGTGAGCAGCTGTCCAGAAGCTGGCAACCGATCTGCCTCACCTGGGAAGAGCATAATGATAATACCAACATGGGCTAGTGAAGCAACGTCCTCCGCATCTAGACTGAAGAACAAAAGGACAGCAACTTGTCTGTTCCCCTTCCCCCAATTCCCCAATGCTGTTCCCCTCCCCCAATTCCCCAAAATATCTAAAAAAAACAAAACAAACCAGAACAATCCAAACGTTCCTCAAGAGGAGACTGGATAAGTAAATTCTGGTCAATTCATACATTCATACTGAAAAAAAGGTCACCAAATACCATTTACATAAAAATAAAAATTGTATAAAAGTGATAGGGCTAGTCCAAGATTAGAAGCAAATATTTGTCAAGTTAAGCAGAAATATGAAATATTTAGAGATTCACTCATATTAGATAAACTATGAAGAAACCCAAAGGAATTATGAAAATAAAAATTAGGGTAATCGTTGTCTTGGGTGGAGAGTGGGAAATGAGATACTGAAAATATATCAAGGAGCTTACGGGGGTGTTAGTAGTGTTTTTTCTTAAGCTCTGTTTTAGGTACAGGTGTTCATTCTATTATTCTTTATACTGTACATATACACTACATACATATGTGTTTGAAATATTTCAGTGTTCTTTATAAGTAAAAAAAAAAGTGGCCTTGATTTTATTATTCCTTTAATATAATGAAGAAGGAGACAGTGTCAGAAACCCTCGTGGTCCCTAGAACAGGCTGTACATGCAGGGGGCGCTCGGTGTTTGAAGCGAAGGAAGCTTAGGTTGATATTTCTTAGAGCCAAGTTCACAATTCAAAATATTTCCTCCCTCCATCTTCTTAAGTTTTATAGAGGTAACTTTTCAGTGAAAACATATAATGTGACAAGTATTTTGACTGGCACTGTCAATTCATTTTATCTTTTTTGCCAGAAACTCTGCTGTAGCAGATCTTTGTCACGATGAAGAATTGATCAACATGTGGTGCTGAAATATCCCTGCTCATTCTTTTTAGCATACTCAGTTCCAAGATGATGCGTGCTGGGGAATTCAGCTTTGCTGACTTGGTTCTTTCCTTGAGGGGAAGGAGAGCTGAAAGAGTGAGTTTTCTCCCTTGCCACTTTGCCAATTTATTGGTGAGCAAGTTTCTTAGCCAGTGCCTCATTATTCTCATTAGTAAAATGAACATTGTAATGAATATAATAACCATGCACTCATCCATGCTTCCACCTACCTACCTATCAATCAATCATTTGGAGCAGTGCCCCGCATCGTGTAGTCAGTGCTATCTAAGACTTAGTTATTATTGTTATTATATGTTGGTCATATACAATCCATTGGTTTTGGACAAAATCCTACAAATGATTATACTGTGGTTCAAGCTATTTGATTAAACTGCAGTCGTCTTGTGAAAACAAAATGCACCTTTAACACTTGAAAAATGATTATCTTATATTTTATTAAATAATTATGCAAAACAGACAAAATATTTTTAACTGATTCCTTAAATACACTATTTTGAGCATCTTACCTAAAACATTAAATTTCTGAGCCAGTGGAAGAGTGAACAACCTCCCAGGAAATTTAATGTTATAAAGGGAATACGCCATTTTTAACATTAAATTCATTAAGTTACTACTTTAAAAGGTATATTGTGCTATCACTGCATTGAAATAAAAACCCAATGAAATCAATAACATGGAGTAACTGTATGCTAATATTCTGAACTAACATTTCAAATGTAGACTCGCTACATAGTTTATTTAAAGCTCAACTAATAAATGTTTCTTTTTGCTAAGACAGTTTTTATTGCCATTAGATCCTACTGATTTTTTAGAAATAGAGCTGCTCCACACTGAATCCACTGGTCTTGGCTGCCTCCACATGGAACATCGATATTGGTTACCACACGATCCCGTTCAGCGCTTGTGTACACAGGCAAAGATATGCACTCATCAGGGGAATATGGACCATATGAACCCTGTTTAAAAAGAATATTGTTTTAAAATACAGCAACATACTGTTTTGAAGCTGATCATTTGACAACCAAAAACACAAACACAAAACCCTCTAAATAAATGTTATTTAACATTTTATTATGAAATGTTTTAAAATAAAGACTACCATAATAACTCCCCATCATCCAGCTGAAATAATAAACCCATGGCCAAATGTTTCATTAATAATCTTCCCGTAGATGCAAGTATTATAGTGGTTTTTTTTGTTTTTTGTTTTTTTAAGCTGAGCCATCCTGCTACCTGTTGGCTGCTCAGCGGCTGCTCAGCTCGGGCTGGACTCGAACCGCTGTTGTTCAGAGCTCAAACTCTTGAGCGAGCTCTTAACCAACTGACCCACTCGGCCGGCCCTAAATATTATAGTGTTTTGAACCAAATCTACACTTAGAAATTTTAATCTATCAGCACATGTCTAGAAATAAAGCATAAAAATGGAATCACAATAACTATTACAACATTTGAAAATATTAACAATATTTATTCCATATTTTAAAATGTTTTTACCACCCAAAGTCAATGCAATATATAAATGATGTAGTATAGAATTGCATACTTGAAATGTATGTAAGTTTAGTAACCAATGACACCCCAATAAATTTAATAAAAATATTTTTTATTAGAACCATAATTCAAATAAAGCCCATACTAGCATTTTGTTGCTATGTCTCTTATGTCTTATAAATTTATAGGTTTTTCCTTTATCCCTTGCAAATTGCTGAAGAAACTATACCAAAGAGTTTCCCACACTGACTTTTGTTGGCTACATTACCATGGTATCATGTTCATCTATTCCCTACATTTTTGTACACTGGATTTGGAGATAAGCTCAGATTCAGATTCAATTTCTGGCAAAACACTGCATAGGTGGTGCTGTATCCTTCCATCAGGAGGCATACTTGTGTGGTTGTCTCTCTTTTTAGGTATTAGGAGCCACTGGTGATCATTATTACATTCAAGATAATCAAATGATAATTTAACTCTATAATTCCTTCTTATTTCCAGGAAGGAGTATATCTATAAAGAAACTTCTACTCATCAATTTTTTGATTACCATAAAAGACAGTTCATATAGGAAAGTCTGAATAAATGCTATCCTATTTCCCTTTGTGTTTCCAAAATAATGAATTTGTTCCCTAGTATATGGTAAAAGTGATCAATGATCCCCAATGCCTCCTTATTAAAAGTACCACTATGAATTGGTGGATTTAAACATATTTGATGAGCTTCAATCCAAAGTAGTTATTATCTTATTGATATTTAAATTGTCAATCTTTGTTCAGTAGGAATTCTTAAGTTGGCTCCTGAGTTGTTTCTTTACTATTATTGTTATTATTATTATTACTATTATTTGATGTGTTCCTTGTTATCATCAATAACGTCCTGGCTTTCTAGTATGTCCGTATATTTCATCCTGTGGATTTCCTTTCCTTTCCTTATTTTTTAGAGTTGGAGTGAAAGTTGAAAGTTAGACTCTAAAATTTTACAAGTGACGAATCAAAAAGTCATAGATAATTTACCATGGTAACCCAGTTAGGAAGTTGCAAAGTTGGCATAGATAATACAGTTGAAAAAGGTTTTGGCATATGAATACTAGCACCTACATACTGTTATTCTGGTACTTATTAAAGTAGAAGACAATAGCATTTATGAAAATAAATCACTATGGGGCTCTAAAGTACTTGTCTAGGATCTTCTGACCCTAAGTAGATTACTCTCTGAGCACCAGTTTCCCTATTACAAAAAGAGATAAACACTTATTCACCTAACAAGATAATGAAGAATCAGTGCTATATTAAAGAGCTCAAATATAAAGTATTATTTATCCAATATCTCTAATTTTTTTAGACTGAACACGCCTGCCTTTTTCTTACTCCCTACTAATTCTCAAATTACGTAGAAAAAAAAATCCCAACTTTTTAGCATTCACTATATGTCACACAGATGGTGCTAGGATAGAGAGAAATGAAAATAGAATGTTTTAAATTTTTCCATGAAGAAAAAATATTTTTTTAAGTTTAAGTGGGCATTACATGAAATTTCTACTATATTTTCCAATGCTTTTCTACCTCTCTCCTTCTCTCTCCTACTCTCTCTCTCTCTCTCTCTCTCTCTCACACACACACACACACACACACACACACACACACACACACACACACACATGCTCGCTCACTCAAATACTGTTCTGACTCTTCTGGTCCTTGATATAACCAGTTAAGTCCTTTTGAAAACATTCATTCCTAACATTCCTAAATCTTATCCTGATTTACATATAATAAAATTGATTCTTTATGAAAAATCATTGCCCAAGTAGACAAAAACACCATCTGCCCTGAATCTTTCTAATTTTTCTGTTTGTACTGATGATTCTGTAAGTTATTCAGCCATTCATTCAACAGTATTTTATGTGCTAATGTGTCTAGAATTATAAAGACTAATATAATTGTATCAGTGTATATTCAAATAGAGAAAATAATTTTTGAAGTTTAAATTTTAGTGTAGGAAACAATATACATATCAAATATATAGTATGTAGTTTTTGGAAAAATGATTACTTTAGGAAACAACATAGTACCCTGGGGTATGTTAATCTAATAAGGATTAACAGGGAAAATGAACCCTGGTTGGGCCTCAGAAAAAATACAAGCTATGGAGTAAAGAGAATTTCCAACCGTTTTATTAGTCACTGCCCAATCTCTTTCCTCTTCTCCAATTCTGCTTAAATGGCAAAGCTTTAAGAGTCAGAAAATCCTGTAATTTTCATAACTCCTTTCATAACTTCCTAAAGTTAATAACATCGTACAGGCTTTCTTTTGGTGTTGCCTTTAAATTCTTTAGCAAACGGCAGACAAACATTACATACTTGTTGGACTGAAAACTCTGAATATATGAATGCTTATTTATAATCCCAGGAAAGTTCTTAAATTATCTTTCTCTACCACCTGATATTTACTTTGATTCTGATAACTTCTACGGTCAAAAATGAAAATAGAAACATCGGATTGAAATGTTTTACAATGCTATTCCTTTCTATTCAGGAGATTTTTCTCTATTCTCTTTATTTTAATGCCAAGCAATTTTTTCTTTAAATTAGGAACTTAACAGTAATGCAAAGTTGATTCTTTGCATATTCATTATCAATTTATTACTTCTGTATATATTTTCAAACCCTTCCAAATCTGCTTTTGGTTGTAGGCTTTTTGTTTGTTTTAAAGTGAGGGTACAAATATTTCTATCAAAACCTACAGTTTTTTTTTGGTTTTGTTTTGTTTTGTTTTTTTTAGCTGAGCCATCCTGCCACCTGTTGGCAGCTCAGCAGCAGCTCAGTTCAGACCGGGCATCCAACCACTGTTGCTCAGAGCTCAAATTCCTGAGCAAGCTCTTAACCAACTGAGCCACTCGTCCGGCCCTTAAAACCTACAGTGTTTTAAAAGCAAAACACCACACACAGTTGCTTCTTAAAATTTTGCTTGTCATTTCTCAAAATCTCTTAAATGGTAATTGCCATAACCTTCTGTAAAAAAAAAATTAAAAAAAAAGTTGAATAGACTTACTCTTAGGTCACCAATAAATAAATGATCAAAGTAGCAAGCTAAGTACTTTGGCATTTTCACTGTTAGCACTGTACAAGGTAGAAGTTCCATGAATGTGGTTTAACCGAACTAAATTCTTATAACACAATTCCTTCTTTAATATGTTTCTCTTAACAGACAAAGTAAAAGGCCCTGCTGGGATGAAATATTTGGATGAAATTAAAATCTTATTAATAACTATTGACAAATATATTAAGTGCTCAACTAATGCAAAATACACGATATACTAGGAAGACTTCAAATCATTCATATTATATGACATGTAAAGAAGTTAGCTTTATGTAAATAAAATTTAATAAAAATCTATATATTGTGATGAATCTAAAATGGTTCGTGTGTTAATATATGCTATTTTATTAAAATAGAAAGTGGTCCACTTAGCTCAGTCAATAATGAGGCTAAACTTTGAAATGTCATACTCATGCCCATGCCCATGGGAAGGTAACTTAAAAGTACATAACTTAAAAGTACACATGTACTACAAATAGCAGGAAATAGGCTAATATTTGAAAGAAGACAATGCATTTTACAAAGGCAAATGGTGCTTTAGGTACCACTTAAGCAACAAACCAAAGAAAATAACAAAATGAAAACCAAACAATAAACAAACCCCCCAAAGAAAACAAAATTACCTAGGTTAATTATGTTAACTATTTGACCTATTTCAACTCAATTTCACTATTATAAAACATATATGAAGTAAACCAAGATATATTTCTCATCAGTTTATGTGTAAAATCCAACTAACTTATTCTAACATATGCTTTATGAATGTTTATGAATCAAGTCAAGAAACAGCTCTTTTTTAGAAAAGATGTTAGGAAATAAGACATTTAATCTACATTAAAGTGGTATAATTAATGCAACTCTGGAAAAAATAAATAATCTCAAAACAGGAAACAAGACAACTTACCAACAATGAATATTTTGAGAATTTGCTCTGTCAAGTATGTCTAGCTACTCCTTAAAATGTATTTTGGTAGAGAAATAATACTTCCCTTATATTTTTCAATAATACAATGCTAACAACATTGCTTTCATAATAAGTCCTTAAGCAAAAAAAATACTGTCATATAGAAAATATATTAATTAAATATTTATTATTTTTTAAACCAGGGTGCATACAAGGCAGAGCTTTCAGCATGTAACTTCTGATATACATGGTGATAATATTTTAATATATATAAAAGTAATATAAAGGCTATTTTTGTGAGTGACTTATGGAATCATTTTATAGTCATATTTTCCCTGGACATGAAATTGTTTCTGAGGTTGAACTGTTAATCGCAGGGCCTGTTGGGAGGTCTGGGCCTATGGGGTTCAGGCTAACTCAGGGCTCCTATATTACTGTGGGGCTGATGAACCCTAAACAG